AAGGTATACACAGTCAATAGTGAGTCATAGTGTGTGCAGGATAGCTGGCTCTCACAGTCATTCTCCTAAAGCATTGCCTGACTGTGTGATGTGTTTGCTTGTGATGCCTTATCTTCTCCATTAGGGTTTGTTCTCACTGGAAGATGACTCCTGGGGTCTGTTTGATGTAACACGGGCACGGCGGGCACCCAGTTTTGAAACAGGAAAGGTGTCCTGCTGAGGGTGGCTTGGATTGTGACCAGACTGGACCAAGAGGTCAGCCAAGAGCTGGTTTGTTGTTTTGTTTTCCTGGTCCTAGGGATTGAACTCACCCTTTGCGTATGTTAGGAAAATGCTCCATCACTGATCTATAACCCCAGCCTCCAAAAGCTGACTTTAGAGAAACAAAAAGGGGGAGGGGGGGAGGGAAGGAAGAGGAAACAGAAGGAAAGAAAGAGGAAAGCTTGTGCTGGAACAAAGATAGTGAATTTCTCCTTAGGAGAAGGGGTTGCATGTCCATGGGAAGACCCCACTGAGGTTTAGCTAAAGCTGTATGACTGAGCTGGTGTCGCTCTGGAAGAGCTCCTCTGGGCAGCCTCTGCTCATGGGATGCTGTGTCATCAGCCTTGAACTGTAATCTGTCTGACAGCAATGCTGTGTAAAGGGAGGTGAATAGCAGTTTAGGTATGGACATCTCAAAACAATACCTGCCCAGCACTGTGGCACACATGCACACTCCCAGGACTCTGAAGCTGAGGCAGAAGGATCATAAATTCCAGCCCAGCCTTGGAGCTTGGTGAGACCCTGTCTAAATGTAAATAAATGTGTCGAGGTGCCCACTTTAGCTTTTTCTCTCCCTACCTCCTCATAACCTTCCACCCTCTTTCCATCTTTAGTTCACCCATCTCCTTTCTCTACCCGCTGGTTGGTGTATGTCCAGTGAGGGTCAGGCACATGATGTCCTTAAAGACAGCCCCAAGCTTGTCCACAGTAATTGGAGGGCCTGTGACCCATTGACTTGTACACACACAGTTAGCGCACAATTGGCACACAGGCAAGGTCTCTGGGACATGCAGCCCCTGCCATGGGTCCCTGGCTCACCAACGGTCACCAGGCTGGCCTAACCACCTGAGGCCTTCGAGAACACAGTGTCCCTGCCCCTGCTTGCTGCCTCTGGCTTTTGCTCTGATTTTACTGATTTTTTTTTTTAACTGCTACCTTCAGATTTCTTTTTCACTCCTAAGTCACAGATTCCCAACTACATAGATAATTTGGTAATTAATTTCTCCTTAATAAACGAGGTTAATGATCACTGTAATTTAAAACTGAGCACGGGAACATTAGGGGATCTTCTGTTTGTTCCTGGAAGATTTTACAGTCCTATCCTTTATGGGATCCTGCAGGTGGACCCCGGTGGTCCCCGAGGAGGGGCCACCCCAGGAAAAGGGCAGTTGGTGATGCCTCGGGTGGTAGTGGCACCAGTGATGAAGACAAGTATGTTGGGACTCCTAGCTCCATGTGTCCTGCTTTGCAGTGTTTTTGTGAGACCATTAGAATTGACCTCAGGCCACTTGACATGCAGGGTTATTTTATCAGACATCTAATTCTTACCTAACGGTGCTCCTTCTGAATCACCCAGGGGCACCACGGCTCCATGTGGCTCCACATGGCTGTCACTATGGCTCTGCTGTGATAGTCCTCCTTCCCTCTCTCCTCCCTTGCTTCCTCCCTCCATGATGCTTTTGGGTCATCATCCCTGTGCCCCACGTTCCCCCCAGTCCCACATGGAGCCTGAATCATGTGGCTCACCCCAGGGCTCTGCTCATTCCACAAGAGGCCAGGGAGCTGAGGGGTGGGGGAACAGGGCAGGGAGAGAACAGGCACCCTGGGACCCCTCTCCCCACCACGGGAGCTGTGAAAACAGCACAGCAATGCACTGTTGTGTTTGAGCTGGGGAAGGTGCTGCCCATTTTCAGCAGCCCGCTGCGGGAGGGTGAGCTTTTGCATACAGGCCGTGGCAGTAGGGTAGACTGAAAAGAATACTGGTGGCAGAACCATCATCTGCCAGGTGGCCTCTGTCCAGACCTGCAGATGGGGCAGCAGTGTGCCAGTCACCAAGCTAGAGTGTAGACATGAAGCCTGGGTCGGGCAAGGTAGACTCCAGAGCCTTTGGAGGCCCAGTTCTAGAATGCAGGAGGGTCCAAGGGTGTGCCCACCCCATCCTATCTGTTCACATGGGGGTCATGGACAGCGAGGCCGCCATGATCCCTGAGCGTGGAGGCAGTTCCCCAGGGCGGAGAGGGGACTGAGATGTAAGCCTGCGAGGCATCCTGCTTAGAGGAGCCCACAAAGGAGGTGCCAAAGAGGAGTCCTCTGCAGAGGGGCCCCAGGGAAGCTGGGGGTCCTGAAAGCTGAAGGAAAGATGTGAGAGGAGGAAGTGACCCACAATGCCAGGGGCTGCCCAGAGGTCAAGTAGAAGCATGTGACCCCGCATCCGGGAAGCCACCCATAACCCCAGGTTCCTTACAGGGCAGGTTCAGCCAGGGGCAGGGGCAGAGTATAAGGAGGACGGGGAGGTGCTCTCAGTCCCAGGGCACACCCATACTACAGGCTGGGTACACAGCCCAACTGAGGCTGCCCTGGATGGCCATTCCCGCTGCTGGCACCATGCCCATCCCTGGTGTCCCGCATGGAGGAGGTGAAGGAATGGGCAGAAGGGTCCAGGGTCCTTGTTCTGGACGTGGGGTGGGCTGGCGAGATGTCAGGGGCAGGGTGATTGTTGCTATGCGATGGGTCCTGAGCAGTGCCAGGGCCACACTGCTATCCGCTCTCCCCACCCTGCCGCTCCTTCACTGGGAATACAGCAGTGACACCTGACGAACGAGGCCTCACAGCCTGTTTCCCTCCTCCTCGTGATGGGCTGGGCACTCAGCTTTGTACTTCAGCTCTTCCTCCTTCACACAGTCTCCTCTCCCTTCTGTCTGTTCTGCATTGTCTTGTAGTTCTGAAACAGTCTCTATGTTTTAGAGCAAAATACTCATAAATCAATTTCTTTCACTTGCATAGAAGGACTTAGTAGGGAAATTGGACAGCCACAAGGAAGAGTCAGTAAATTTTTTTTAAAGGCTGCTGTTTTTTGAGACAAAATTTCACTATGCAGTTCAGTCTGAACTCGAACTTGCAGCAACCTTCCTGCCTCAGCCTCCTGGTTGTGCACCCACCCCCACCCCCGCTGCTGTTTTGAAAATAGCAATTTATGAAATGCTGTGATTTCATTTCTGTATGTGTGCAATTCATGTGTGAGATCGGTTAACTCCACGGACAGGATCTTAGTGCTTAGCACATGGCTCAAGCTCCGTGCAGTTGTCCAGAGGTTTCTCTGCACAAATGCTATACTCAGGAGCTCCCTCCGTCCTTCTGCCTCCCTGGGGGAAGGACAGAGCATTCATTTATATTTGGAATTTTATAAAGCAAATATTTGACTTGTCTGGAAAAGCTTCTCAGATCTTCACAGAGCATGAGAAGCATGTTGAGAAAATGTCCACGAAACTCGCCAGTCCTGCGTCCTGTTCTGTGGGATTTGAGCTTCGTAAGTTTCCTACCAGTCTCATGATTCACATTGCCCTAAGCCCAGAGGAAGCTTAACTCTGACGCTGGCAGCGTGAGCCAAATGCAGAGTGGCTGACAATCAAAAAACTGTTTTTTGCTCTTTTTCTTTGAAGCAAAAAAAGGAAAGAAATGAGCAGTCCTCCAGGTGATCTGATTTTAATTTAGTTTACTCCTAGGCTTTAGGATTTCAGTGCACCTCTGGGTCATGCTTTGCAGCTCTTGGAATCTGATCTTAGATTTTATTTTTGAGTTCATGTAATGATTTTTAAAATATTCTAATACAAATCTTCAAAGATGCCCGGTCAATACGCCAATGGTGGTGAAATGACAGAGTGCCGTGATATTCCTCTGTAATTTGAACGTGATTAGCTGATGAAGGTTATGATCAATACACTATGGGAAGATAAATTCATTGACACCGTCCTTTCAGGATGATAAGGGCCCTGTTGGAGGTGGGATGTAACTAATGAAGCTGCCGCTTCATCTCCAGGAGCCGTTTTTTATTTATCTCGTTTTCACTTAATCATATTTATACTGTCATTCATTTCCTTGAAAACCATAAGCGGCGGACAAACCAGCTCCTTATTAAAATTGTGTTCATTTGGAAAAGAAATTATCCAAACACCATGTGGGATCCTTCCACTTTATAACCTCTGGTCAGGGAGAGATGAAGGTGCCCTCTCCTGGGCACCGTCGGGGAAAAGCAACACCGTGGGCAAAGACAAGATTGAGCATCACCAAACTTAATTACAGCTGCTCCCCAAAGACGTGCATCCACACGAATAAAAACCGTAGTTATCCTCCCGCAGTGACACCTATTGGTGTAGGAAGAGTTTTCTAATCGTTGACTTCCTTTCCAATTAAATTCAATATGCTTTATCAGTGAGCCTGTTTGCCAAGAGAAGTTATGGCTGGTTGAATTTAGATTTGTATTGATTAAGATAAACTTGCCGTGTGCGTGGTAATACGTTTAAGTCTTAAAAACAGGTCTCTGATATAATTACGTGTACTTGAATGTAATTCTATATACTGTCACTTGTAAAGAATAATTCTTTAGGCAGTGCAAAAAAAATAAATAAATAAACAGAGAAAGAGTTTTGGCTTTCCCAGGGGTTGAAATTCCCAGTCACAGTTGGGATTGTCTGTACGCTGCATAACTGGGAAGCCTGCTCTGTGAGGTCAGGACACCGAGTGCTGGGGTGTGGCCCTCTATGACCTGTTCCTTCTGTGTCCTGCAGCATTTAGCTGGGGGCAAGAGGCAGTGCTGGGAGCTGTGACAGTTAGTCAGGTGCCCAACTGAAAATCATCACAAGAACGGAACAGTGGGCCCTAGGGGTCATGTCCACTCTCTACAATGTCCCATCACCGGGAGACCAGCTTCACATTGATGTCTTTCGTCTCTCTGTTGCCAGTGGCCCAGAAGATTGTAGCCACCAGGAAGAAGCAGCAGCTGTCCATCGGCCCTTGCAAATCCCTGCCCAACTCTCCCAGCCACTCCTCGGTCTGCTCAGCACAGGTGTCAGCCGTGCACATAAGCCAGGTGTGTTGGCAGCTCCAGGGAGCTGGGTGGGGTGGTGTCCACAGGGCGAGTTTATTGTATTTTTTGCAACTTTGTAAATAACAGCAGGCTTGTAATTGCCTTTACGTTTCCTTCAGAAACTGCTGTGGCCAAGCGGTTTTTATGGGAATCATTCTTTAACGTTTTCTGTCTCCATGCTGCGAGTGCTACGAGGCGTGCTGTCATAGGGAGGGAGGGGCAGCACCAGGTGTGTGCCACTGTCTCTGCTGTTGATTTAAATCACCCTGCTCTGGTCTGCTAGTAGGTTGAACAGTTGTGAGTACATCTTAATAGCGAATCCCACTTTAGGCTTAAATTTGGTAGCATCATTCAGTTATAATTACCATCTCCCTCAGGCCCTATCCAATGATCTTTCCATAACAACAGTTTGCTAAATTATTTACTTGGAAACAAGTGATGTAATGGTCACTTGCAAGAATGGAACCAGAAGCTATTAAGAAGACTGTTGCCTTCATTTGGCCTATGCTTGTTTTCTTATTAAGCTCTCTTAGATGGGTATGTTGCTGGCACCTGTCCCCTGAAGGCTGCAGGGAGACGGCTTAGTGCCACATCTTTAGGACACTCAGGAACTCATCATGCAGCTGTGTTTTCAGGTGGGCTCTGCTGCAGCACGGTCACCAAGGTCTGCATCTTCATTGTTGGCATCTCTGTGAAGTGTGATGCGTGTTTTTCACCTTAGCACTTTGATTTCCAAATCAAAGTCATTTTTTACAATTCATTGTGGTTCTGGCTAGACGAAACTCCAATGGTGAAGGAACCAGAGAGCCCATTTAGTTTAAGCAGCTTGATTTTTCAGGAAAAAGAAACATAGTTATGTGTTTAACTCTTAGAATTTTTAGGAGACCACGACTTTTCCATACGAGGGCACTGTTGCTGGCAGAGCGCCGCTGTGCACTGAGGCTGGGTACTGGGATAAGACCCAGTAAGGACAGAACGGACTTGGGACTGAGCAGCGGACAGAGCCATCGGTGCTGTCTGGGCTATCGCACCTGTGTCCCTTTGGTGTGACCTGCTGATTTGTTGGTTATGACCCATCTTGAGAGGGTGACCTAAAACTCCAGGAGCCTGTCATTCACGAAACCTTGGTTTCCCATTGTTACAGACAAGCAATGGAGGTGGGAGTTTAAGTGACTATTCCTCCTCCGTCCCATCCACTCCAAGCACCAGCCAGAAGGAGCTCCGCATCGATGTCCCTCCCACAGCCAACACCCCGACGCCCGTCCGGAAACAGTCCAAGCGCCGGTCCAACCTTTTCACAGTGAGTGTCAGCCCTGCGAAGGCGCCTGAGGAGGGTGCACAGAATTCCCCTGCTGAGGAGCGTAGACTCTAGCCTAACTAAGTTCATGAGCACCACACTGAATTCTTGGGATGTCTAAGAAAATGAGGGTTTGGCCATGGAATAGAATTTCTCAGGGTGGAAGGTGGCGGTACATGTGTTGAGGTGAAGCATGAGTGACCCGTGTAAAGGTCCTGCTCATCCGGGGACTCCCCTGGCCTCCCCCGTAAGGACTTTTAAGAGACAGTACACTGCTGGAGTGTGCACTGACTTCAGATAGGAGGAGAGTGCTTGGTTGTGCGCAGCAGCCAGTGGTGAGGCTGGGTGGCCGTTCCGGCTGGCATCACCAGCCCGAGGTTCCTAGGGGTTCTCTCGCTCAGATCCCCCTCACAGGGCCCTTTCTCCAGAGTTTCCTAGGGAACATTTTCAAAGTGACCAGCAGACACCTGGGCTCAAATTGTGAAGCTCAGACTCTGCACATGGAGCCCCAGCATGTGTAGTTTTTAAGAGTTTCCAGAGCGATTGAAATGTAGAAATCCCTGAACCACAGAAGAGGTCCAAGTGCTGCTGCCCTGTCCCTTCTTCCTGCACAGAGCAGACATCACCAGTTGGTCACAGAAGGCTTTGCAGTGGAGCCCAGAACACCAAGCAGAAATGCTGTCCTGTGGCTTGGACAGTCCTCCCTGAACTGGTCCTGAGCATTGTATTGTTTGAGGCTAGTGGTTCCTCAGCCAGCATGGTTTTGCTATCCAGGGACTATCCCAGTAACTTCTGGGAACATTTAGGGCCATCACCCTGTGAGCAGGGGTAAGGTGCCACAGGCATCCAGGGATGCCTCAATGCTAGTAGTGCCTGCTTGAAATCTTTAGGTCTCCCCTTCTGGTGGACTGAGACTGACTTAAACACAGGAGATGTAATATTCCTTGTCGTGAATGGAGGACTCGCCAGGGGTAGCTGGGAGTCCATTATGTGATCTACCCTGTTTGGGGATGGCTGGCTCTGTGCTGGGCACAGGAGTCCTATGAAGTCAGGCAGATGCCCCACCCTCTCCTGCTGCATTTGTAGTGGTCTCCACCAGACAGGTGGTTATGGCTTCCAGGCTCCTGCAGACAGCACCTGCCCTCCTGCCACCCCCCACATCCCCTGCTGGTGGCCAGTGGCCTGGACTACCCAGCTCTGGCAGGCACTGCTGCCCAGGTCCAAGGTGAATACATCAGACAGACCAGGCCCAGCCTCTGCCTTTGCTGCTGGTGGCCATTCCACCTTAGCTAAAGGATGGGCCTTTGCTGAGCTGGGGCCAGGCGTGTTTCAGCAGTGGTCAAAGGAGCCTTTGTAGCCTTGCTGTTATTTCTCACTACCAGTATCGTGAGCATGACTTGTGGTAGTGTTGAGCAAAAACAGTTGTAGGTCCACCCAGTGGGTTGGGAGGGAGTTGTTTTGATGCCTCGATGCGGATGTTTATCTATCTGCATAAATGGTACCTGATGGAGGTGCTGTACAGTAAAATTCTTTCAGATACGTGCATCACAGAAGCCACCTACATGGCTGTGCCTACCTCTGTCAAATACCTGTAAGGCTGCTTTACACCCGAGGTGGGGCCCATGGTGGAGAAGGGACACTCACACACGGACACACCCACATACAGAATAGCTATGCACACAGTGGGTCTGAGAAGCCAGCTGCTGGAGCTCAGCTGGGACCTGAGGGGGTGCTAGCACAGTGGGCAGCTTGAACCGCAGGACCAGTTTCTGTGCTTGTCTCTAGTGACCATGGGAGTGGCGTGGGAGAGAACAGGCAGCTTCTGGCACCTGCTCAGAGCCAGTTTTGCTGCTTGTGGACTTTGGTTTCTATCCTGTGACAGACATAAAGAACAAACCCAATGGAAATTCTCTTTCGACTTAGGCCTTACCCAAGTCCCCAATCTCTGAAAGGGCGGCTTGCAGCTGGAATGTGCCACAGAATAGTGTGCAAGACCCTGACAGCAGATAACTGCCAGCCCTGGTGGCTTGTGTTGGAGACCACTTACTTTATTTTCAGGAAGGAAGAAGGAAAATAGCCCAGCAACACAGCAGCTGCTCACTGCTGAGTGCTGGCTTTGCTCAGCAGGTAGGAGGCTTGCTGGTGGCGGGAGTCAGCCACGTTCACCAGAAAGCAGTTGGCAGCAAAGCGAGGGGGTCCCACATAGTACACAGAGGTGAGGTCTGTGGAAGCTGCCCATGTACTTGCACACACACTTGCACACCCTGAGAGGCATCCAGAAAGCTATGGTGACACAGGCTAGGTGAGGCACATGTATCAGCCACTGGAAATTTCTTGTCACAGTGATGGATGTTACTGTTGATGGTGTCCTTGTTCACACCACAGCTGCCTATGAATCTGAGCATTGCCTGTGCTTGTTCTCCTCCTCTGGTGTCACTAACAGTTGGAAAATAAACAGCTTTAAAAATGGCATCCTGCTGCCCAGCTGTCAGCAGCGGGGGCAGAAGTTGGGGCTGATGCAAGAATTTAGTGTGCCAGCAACCGGAACCCCCAGCACAGGGCAGTGTGCAGGCCCTTCCTGGGTGAAGCAGGTGATGGCGACATGAGAGGAGGCCCTGAGTATTCTTCAGGTGAAGATCTGGGAACATGAACTCCACTAGATGTCAGTGTCATCCAAGGAAAGCAAAGGAGGCAAATTAATTTTGAAGTATAAACAATTAAGACACTAAATTCTTATCGTCACCAATTGGCTTCTAATTTCAAATAAGTAAAATCTCATACAGTCTGGGTCCCTGGGGTGGTCCGTGGTCCTGGGCTTTGATGGTATTTATTTCACAGTAGCCAGCAGTAGGGAGAGAGATGGGAGGCACTGTTCACCTCACTCATTAGAGACTTGCATGGGGCCATAGCTGGGTCATGCACACATCGTTTCTGAAGACCTTTCTTGCACGTTTTATAAACTAGACCATGTGTACCAATCTGGGCTAACATGTTCTGCTCCCAGATGTTGCTATTTGCACATACACATATTTTGAAACATAGAGCATGTGTACCATATGTGAAATGGTATAAACTTAGAATCTCTCTAGTAGCAGCAGACTATGTGTCACCTTTGTGGTAGAAATTACACTTTACTGACAAAAATGTTAAGAAGTCTATCTTCACTTAGTTTTCTGGGGAAAAAAAAACCCTAACATTAGAAGACTGTCCACTTAATCCCTGGCTTTGTAGTACTGATTCTTACAGCAGGCAGTTTCGGAGCCCCTGTTTACATGTGGTTGAGCTATTGTATTGGAAAACGTTTTCAAACATTGGGGAATAAAAAAACCCATGTGTACTCACCACAGTTCATCAGATACAGACCTCTGCTGCTGCTGCCACTGCTGCCGATCTCTAGGAGAGAAGCAAATCATAACGCAAAGCCCAAGCTGTCCAGCTGTCCCCTCCTGCCTCTTCCGGAGATAGGCGGGTCCCTGAATCCTGTGTATGGGATCTATGTCTAGTGCACGTGTACTTGTGTGATATGTGCATTGCTTTGCTTGTCTGTGAGCTGTACAGCAGCAGTGTCGTTGATGTGGTGTTTTTCAAAGCTTGCTGTGTGATGCCGATGCCATTAAACAGACCTAAACACACCGGTATCCATGTGTGGTGGAAAACATAAGAGCTCCCTGAAAAAACAAGACATCGAGGTTCATTGTGTTAATAGAATTACTTGAATGGCACTTGGGACCCTCATAGAAGAGAGCCTGGGTGTGGTGGGTTCTGCTGGCCTTCGCCTTGCTGGGAAAGGGGAGAGCAGATTTCCACTGGGTCCGGAGGGCTCTTGTTATAACACTGCTGTTTGGTATCAAGCAGGTATCCATGGAAATCCCTTGATGGCTTCTTTCACCTTGCAAGGGGAAGTTAAGCATTTTTGTAAAGCAGCAGGTGATGTCAGATTCCCTTACCTCCCTCTCTGTACTGGCCGTTCTGGAGACTGAGCATCTCAGAAGGGAGACCTTCTGAGATGGTTATGTTTCTGGTAGTGGGCAACAGGCTTGACCAGGACATGGTCAGTCCTGATCCACAGGTGGAAACCAGGAGTGTGCAAGAAAGCAAGGAGACCTCACCAGGGATTTCTTCATGCTGGAGTCTTTTATGTCCCCTGGACTTGGTTTAGTTATTGGCTTTCAGCTTTATCGATGCAAATTAGAGAAGCTGCTTTGATGGATCGATCATGGAGCTCTCCCCTTCACCTCTGCTCCTGCTTGCAGTTTTATTCATCTCTTAATTTGTGATCAGATACTGAGTTCTTTGCTTTCCTGTCCTGTCTATCTGCCTTTCTGTCTGTCTCTTTCTTTTCCTTCTTTCCTCCCTTTCCTTCCTTTCTTCCTTTGTTGCCAGTACTAAGGCTTGAACTCAGGGCCCTTGCCCTGAGCTGTCTCCTTAGCCCTTTTATTATTGGTTATTGTCAGACATGTCTCTGTTAGTTACCCAGGCTCTACTTGAACTTGCGATCCTCCTGCCTCGGCCTCCCAGGTGCTGAGGTGACAGGCACATGTCCCCTGCCCAGCTTCTTCACCATTTGCACGCTGAGTTGTGCCATCAGCCCTTTCTTCCTGCTTCTGGTGCCTGCTAAAGCCTGCTCTGAGAAGGGGCGGCTGTGGGGACAGATGCGCTGCCTTGGGGAAGATGTTAACTTTCTTTAAATGTTTGTTTTGTTAATTATTCTGGTTAGCAGAGAATAATGAAGATGGATTTCCAAATTTAGTAACTTAGAATTTATAAAATTCCTGGAGGATTATTGATGGTCTTTATTGGCTTAATTTTTTTAAGTGTACTACGGTGAGCTGAAATTTAGACTGTACCTAGAAACCTCAAGTGTCAACTTCCTGAGTACTGCAGCACCAGAGAATTTCAGGCTGCCTGTTGCTCTGGCTGTATGTTACTAATTGAAGCATTAATGAAAGAGAAAAGCAAACCCCTAAACTGAAACTGAAGTTCTTGAAGAGTTGGTAAACATATCTACTTTCCTCCTAGCCCAGAGAGATACATTTTTTTGTTTGTTTGTTTGTTTGTTTTATATGGTGGCAACTTCTCATTGGTTACTTTTTCCATTTCCTGTCATCTTTATCCAGGCATTTACTGTCCTAATGAGCAAAGGTACCCAGTGCCTGGTGCAGAATAAGTGATCAGTAACTGCGAGCGCTTCACATCACCGAGGAAGCCTATATCCTACACCCCTGGGAGCCCCTCCCTGGCCTCCGTCCTAGTTTTGCAGAAGCTGCCCCTGGAATGCTAGGCCTGTCCCATGAGCCTTTGCTTTATGCTGCCCTGTGACATCCATCGCCCCTTTCAAATATTTCCTTTAAACATCAGCTGCTCCATCCCGAATGGCTTTGAAACGGGATTTCATCAGCTGTTCTCTGAGACACCGGACACCGGGTCTCTCCATTTCATATATCATCTCGGATTTGAAAAGCACATGAAAATGTTTCTCCATTTTCAATATTGCGTGAGTAATGTTCCCATTGAAAAGTAATGGAGTGAAGTTGTCACTTGTCAGCACCATTATTAAGGAGGACGAGTCTCAGATCTTTCTCTCATAATAAAATAAATCTGTCAGGAAATCATCGTGCTCACTTCCTTGTGCCATCAGGAGGTGGAGACTTGCGCTATGGCACTCCTGCAGCTGGGTCGAGGGGTACCTTGAGTGGCGGGGGCGTCACTGGGCCATGTGCAGCCCCCTCGGGTCCCCTCCAGCCACCAGCTTGAGCTGTCCGCCTGACATCCTTGGAGATAACTAGCTAGCGAACTTGGCAAACAAACAGAGTTGCTCATTGTTCCCCGAACAATGACACTTTGTGGGTTTTCAATATTTCTCCCTTTATTATGTGTCGTGGCACTGTGCACTGCTCTAACTTGGAAATCCCTGTGTCCTGACCATCCCAAAGCAATAAACGGAATTATCACCCACACCTTGCTGCTAATCAGGGGCGTACCATTCGCTCGCACATTTGAGTCGTAATAGAATTTTTTTCAATCATTCAGACATGAATTAAATACGTACATGCACAGAGTCGGTTTCTGAAACTAGCCACAAGGAGCCCCTTTCTTCCCCGTCTCTATTAACGGCCGCTTTTGTGTGTGTGTTCTTATTGGGCATTTCTTTCCTCGATGGTCCATTGGTTTCTAGTAATTGAATTCTGAACTCTTTAAAAACGAATTAAAAGATAATCTTGCAATCCTCTTGGAAAAGTCGAGAGGAAAGTTGAGAACATTCTCTCTGGTTCGACAAGGCCTTGCGGAGGAGCCACCCGGGGGGTCGCCTGCCCACCACGTGGTCCAGGCGCTACTTCAGCATCGGGGTGTCGGGGAGCGGGCAGCAGATGCAGAGTGTGTCCCTTAGCATGGCCCTTCCCCGAATGCTGACTTTGCTTTGCTTTACAGTCTCGGAAAGGGAGCGACCCAGACAAAGAGAAGAAAGGCCTGGAGAGCCGTGCGGACAGCATCGGAAGCGGGCGAGCCATCCCAATTAAACAGGTACATGGTCCCCTCCCTGCCTGCACTGGCCACGCACCTTGGCTGGGCCGAGAGGATGCGGGCTCAGGCGCCTGAGTCCATTTGATGTGCCGTGTTGATGAATGTAGAGTCACTCACTTGACATCAATTAGAAGAGGTTCCTGTGAGTATTAAAACAGGATCATTAGAATAAGAAGACGAAATGTGACAAACAGATCTAATGAAGTACAGTCTGCCCGCCTGCATATGGAGTGTGCTCACAGGCAGCGCTGGCTTCAAAGGCTGCCTTTGTAGCGTGGCTTTGATTGGGCTGCTGGCCGCCAGGCGACAGGGGTAAATCAGATCACTGTACAAGAGCCCCTTGTGATCACAGGAATGGCCCGGCGTGGCCCTAATTTGCTCTCGCAGACGGACATCTGAACACTGTTTCAGGCTGGTCTGCGACAACGAGGCAATTAGTTGTGATAATCATAGCCCGCATGTCAGCTGCTCGCTCTTGTTTGTAATTTGCTAATGAAGGAATTGTAACTTTGATTAGGTTCGGTTTCATTTAGGCGTTATTATATAAAGGAACATTTACAGCGGTAATGCAGGGCCTTAATTAAACTTCCTCATTACACAACAGGACTCGAATTCAAGCATTTGTTTTGGCCTATGTTGCTAGCCTGAAATAGGATTTCATTAGCCCAGAAATCGGATGCCGAATGACTTCCTGTCTGCAGGGGAAAAAAAAAGAGGCAGCATTCACACGTGACGTATTTGAGTGTTTTATTTCTGAGGAGAAATAAGAATAGAATGTAGCCCCTCACCCTGGCCTCTGGAAATGTCATCTTTCAGTGGGTTAGAGGAAGCCAACTGATTTGGAGTGCGTTCTTTGGAGAAAAAAAGGGGAGGGACAAAAGCCTGCAGGCAGGATGAAGGCTACACATCCCGTGGATGCGGCTTGTGAGTGATCTGTTCCCCAGACTCCTCGACTCCAGGCACCAGCTACCTGCAGAGGGGGCGAAGTCCTTCCTTGGGGACAGCTGAGCTGTTGCAGCAATAGAGATTTCACCCATTAGAAATGAGCAGGCCTGTAGTTTGCTGTAGCAGGCGCCCAGGCAGTGCCAGCCTAAAGCTACCGAGGGAGGGCCACCAGCTCTTGGGTGAGACCAGAGCTGGAGCTGGGTGGAGCTCTTGCAACCCCCTCAGCAGCTGCTGGACTGAGTGGTTCTGCGAGCTCCTTCAGTCCCCTGCCTGCATAATGAAGTCACCAGGAGGCCTGGAGGGGCTGACCAGGGCCACCGCACCTCTGTGCATGTTCAGATACCAGGTGACCGATGTGCAGGAGAGCACAGGCCCCAGGATGGGAAATTCTGGTCCTTGCATTTCTCTGAAAACAAAACGCCTGCCTCTGTGCTGGTAGTGCCCGGGATTTTCACCATCAAACAAGTTTTTCACAGCTTCCTCCGCAGAGTTGGTTGATGCGCTCTTCTCTTATTTTATAACCCAACTCTTAAGATAATTTTAAAGTATAATTTTTATGTCCTAGATGTTACATCACCTAGAATTATGGCAGTTATTTAACATTTATTTATTTATTTATCTTTGGTGGTCTGCAGAACTGATGCCGGCATGTTGACCTAGGAGAAAAGTAAAGCTTCAAGTCCACGGTTCCCCTGTCCTACACACTGGGGACCAGGGACTCCTAGCTTGGCTTTCCTGAGCTCTTCCCATGCTTCCTGTCCTCCTCTGGCCTTGCAGGCGAGACTTTGAGTACCCGCTCAGACAAGCGCAGACCCCCAAGCACACAGTGAGCATTATCCAGGTCTTAGAAGCCTTTCCATTGTGAATCGGTTTCCTGGTCTGGTTGTGGTCTGGTTTCCTGGGAGTGACAATGTAGGGATCTCCTTAGCCCTCCAAAGTGCTCCCCAGAAGGCAGCAGGGGCCAGCTCCTTCCTGGGGTGCACCCTCGCCTGCCACTGTCCCACTGTGGCAGTACTCTGGGCCTCAAGCTCCTTCATCTGAACCCCTTGAAATCCTCAGCTGTGGTGATTCTGCAGAGAATGTTTCAGTTCCAGCACAATTGGGTCACCTTTTACTGTTCAGGGCACCCTCGGGGGAGCCTTCCTGCGGGTCCCGTGGTCAGAGGTGGGTGCTTCAGGGTTCATGATGCTGTGTATCCCTGCCCATGTGCACGCTTGTTTCTGAAGAGCTCAGATCATCTGAGAGCGGCTGAGTCACTCACCCTCTTGCTGCAGTCACTTCCATATGAGCATGAAATGGGTTGGCATGTCCACCTGGTGGGATCTTTCCCCAGGATTCTGGGAACTCACAGATTTCTGTGCTGAGTGTATGCAGTCAATTGTTATTTCAGTGCTGTCCACACTGCGTCCTGCTTCCCCTGGTGTTGCACGGTGGAGGTGGTGGTGTCACGCGTATCTCAGACACAATCTAGAGAAGGAGACTGCATGTTACAGGCCAGACAGCTAGACCAGGTTCCCCTGCCCCACCACAAAAAGCCCCCAGAGAGCTTTGGAAGCAGAGTTTCTTCCAAGCTAGAGATATGTGAACTCTGACCTCAGGCAGTATAGAAGGAATTTGTAAGCCTGCATCTGCAGGGAGGCACTTCTCCCATGAGGGGGAGAGCTCTCCTGATCCCTGCCCATCCCTGCAGGCAGCAGGGTGTTTGTCCCAGCATCAACCTGCACTCCAGAGTTGGGTCTGTGGCTGGAGTCCAGCGCTGGCCAAGGGGCCATGCACTTCTGGGGAGAGAAGTCGCTTTGGATTCTCACAGCCTTTGAACCGCTGGTGGTGGCCACAGCTTTGAGCATGGCAGACTCTGCTCCCAAACCCCACACCTTAACCCCCAAGCATCGAACTTTGGGGCTCAAATGTGGGGGTCTGTACTCCCCACTACCAACTTTATACAGATCACACTTGTGCCAGTGGATCAATGTCACTGTTTCCCCCGAAATTTTGAGGCTCATTTGTTTGAAAACCAAGGCTTTTAGCCCCAGTATGGGCCCCAGCCGAATTGTACTCAGTGACTTCATCATCCCCGCTACATTCCCCGCCCCCTCCCCTTTGAGATTTCTCACTGAGACTCTGACTCCTCTCCTGTCTCCCGGAGCGCCTGTCTTGCAGACCTGGGCCTGCCTTGTATTTTTGGTCTCTTCTGGGGTCCTGGGTGCAGTTGTTTTGGAGAGGTCTGGGTCTCTACTTACTCACAAGGATAAGGTCTATTCAAACAAAAATTAAAAAGCAAAGCAAGAAAAATAAAAGCCAAGAGCCCCGGCTCAATGGCGAGTGGGCTTGTCACGTATTAATTTTTCATTGCTGTGGAGAGTTGTACATACATAATCACTTGATTGCAGTGGGAGTTAGGGAGCTCCTGTGGTGTCATTTGCATAAATCTTGTTAAGTCAATGGCAGTTAATGAAGTACAAATGAGCCCGGAGAAGGTGACATGCAAATCGTGGGTGGCAGATGGGAGGTCTGTTTGGGGGACAGCAGCTGTGTGCGCTCCTTTCTTTCTTTCTCTTTAGCATTTTTTAATCTCTATATTTGAGTACAGACATATAGCCACACGCCTTGGCCTCTTCCCCTCCACTGACTGGCGGCCAGAGCCCGGCCTGCTTCTCCTGCTCCTGACGCTCGCTCTGTGTGCCGGCGACCGCAGGGCCTCACCTCCCGCTCAGCAGTGTGATTGTGAAATTTAAAAAACCTGATTGGTTTGTCTTGTCATGCTCGAACGTGTATTTTAGTTGGCGAAGGTGAACAAGAGAACTTCCTCATGCACAGAATCTTTGGAGGCAGTGCATGGTCTCTGGATGGGCCGGAGAGTCGAGATGCTGTCTTTGCTCTGCTTCAGTCTGGGATCTTGGCTTCCTTCTGTAGGCTGTCACTCCCATCAGGACTCTGAGTTGCGCCCTGAGGAGATTGCCCTTCCCAGGTGTGGTTAGCAACAGAAATGCAAGAGTGCAGTGTTCATGGGGTACCTCGGGCTGGCAAAAACCCCATTCCCATGCCAGCAGCACAGGGGTCCCCCTTGGCCTGGCTCAGCGGTGGCCCCAGTGTCCTGCCCATGGGAGGTTTTGTTTGAAGGACTTAGGCGCTAGCAGGACTTGTGCTGAGCTGTTAGACTTTTAGGCTGAGCGCTGCACCCACCTGCTAGTTTTGAAAGTCTTGGACTTGTCTTTTGATCTATTATTTGACCCTTTGAGGGTCTCTATACTTAAAAATGTGGGCAAAGAGGTGTGCAGAGAGCTGTGAGCCCCAAAGCAGCTGTGATGGGTGTGTGCCAAGGCCTCCCCACCCTAGAGCCAGCCACACTTGGTGTCTCCGAGGCAGGTTCGTGGCTCCTGGCTTCCAGAGGTCCCGCTACAGCCCTGCAATGAGGCATGCTTACCTTTGTGATGCTGAGTCTGCCCACCACGGGCCCAGCGTGTCCTAGTAAAACTTTCTTATCCACATCACATGGCTACCCTGAGAGTGCAGTCAGCCTTGAGGAGCCCTTGTCTCTTGGCAGCCACCTAAACATCCTTGCAGGAGCTCTCCTGTCAGTTTGCCACCAGGCCTCGCCCTGTCCTCAGGCTGTGCACGGTTTTGATTCTTCTTGGAGTGGAGAGTGGTGATTGTTACCAAAGTAAAAGCCACTTTGGGAGTTAATCCCCTGCCTGACAAGCATAGGCCACTGCCCTGTCTTGTCAGGTCCCTGGGTCAGCTTGAGGGGTTGGATTGTGTGGCATGGGCATCACCCAGGGTGCTCAGGATGCTTTTGACATTGCCTGAAAGTCGGGCACTGCCAGTGCTGGGCCCACTGCTGGCTCGGCTGCTGCTCCAGAATGCACAAACTGGAAGGCAGCCTGGAGCTTCCTCAAGCCCGGGAGACGAGAGCCACGCGGGCACTTCCTTGGGGCAGCATGCTAAGAGCAACATGGGCAGGGCTAAGTCGCCCCTAGAGGCCTCTGCAGGGGCAGGCTGGGGGCTGGTTCTTGCCTCAGCCAAGGTGAACACAGGACTGTGCCCCTGTGCAGATC